ATATATATAATAGAACACAAAAATGAAACCAGGAAGTGGTTCTTTGAAAAGATCAACAAAATTGAGAAACTTTTAAAGACGCTCATTTTAATAAGTACTCAAATAAAATCAGACATGAAGGAGGAGAAATAACATCACCACAGGAGTATAAGAGAATATTATGAAAACTTACATGCCAACTAATTAGCCTATAAGAAATAGGTCTATTTTTGTATAAATATATACCCTTCTAAAACTGGAGCAGGAAGAATTAGAAAATTTGAACAGATTACTAGTAACAAAACTGAATCAGTAATCAACAAACTCCCAACAAATAAATGTCCAGAACCAGATATATTCACAGGTGAATTCTACCAAAAAATTAGAGGTAATATGCATTATTCCCAAACTATTCCCAAGTATAGAAGAGGAAGGGGGGCGCCTGGGTGGCGCAGTCAGTTAAGCGTCCGACTTCAGCCAGGTCACGATCTCGCGGTCCGTGAGTTCGAGCCCCGCATCGGGCTCTGGGCTGATGGCTCAGAGCCTGGAGCCTGTTTCCGATTCTGTGTCTCCCCCGTTCATGCTCTGTCTCTCTCTGTCCCAAAAATAAATAAACGTTGAAAAAAAAATTTTTTTTAAAAAGAAGAGGAAGGAAAGCTTCCAAATTCATTATGCAATGCCAGATTTACCCGGATACCAAAACCAGACAAAGACACTACAAAAAACCAAAAAACAAAAAGAAAAAAAAAAAAAAACTATAGCCAGTAATTTTGATGAATGTAGATGCAAAAATCCTCAAACAAATTAGCAAATGAAATTCAATAATATATTTAAAAATAATTTATCACATTCAAGTGAAGTTTATTCTGGGAATGATTCAATATTCCAAAAGTAGGGTTTAATATTCACAAATCAATCAGCATGATAACTCACATTAACAAAAGAAAGGATAAAAACCATATGATAATTTCAATAGATGCAGGAAAAGCATTTGACAAACTACCACATCCATTTATGGTAAAAACTCTCAACAAAGTAGGTTTAGAGGGAACATACCTCAATATATTAAAGGCCATATGTGAAAAGCCCACAGCTAACTACATAATTGTGAAAAGCTAAGAGTTTTTCATCTACAATCAGCAAAAAGACAAGGATGTCCACTCTCACCACTTCCATTGAACATAGTACTGGAAGTCCTAGCCATAGCAATCAGACAACAAAAAGAAATAAAAGCATCCAAATTGTTAAAGTGTAAAACTGTCATTATTTGCAGATAATACACACACACACACACACACACAAACACACACATACATATAAGATTCCACCAAAAATCTACTAGAACTGATTAATGAATTCAGTGAAGTCATAGCATACAAAATTAATATACAGATATCTGTTGCATTTCTATATACTAGTAATGAAGTAGAAGAAAGAGAAATTAAGAAAATTCCATTTACAATTGCACCAAAATTAATAAAAAACCTAGGAATAATTTTAACCTAAAAGATAAAAGATGTGTACTCAGAAAACTATAAAACACTGATGAAAAAAATTGAAGATGACACAAACACATGGAAAGATATTCCATGTTCATGGATTAGAAGAACTGATATTATTAAAATGTCCTTACTACTCAGAGAAATCTATAGATTTAATGCAATCCTTGTCAAAAATTCCAACAACATTTTTCACAGAACTAGAACAATAATCCTAAAATTTGCATGGAATAAGAAAAGGCCTCAAATAGCAAAAACAATATTGAAAAGAAACAAAGCTCAAGGTATCACAGTCCCAGATTTTGGGATATACTACAAAGCTGTATGGCACTAGCACAAAAATAGACATATAGATCAATGGAATGAAGACAGAAAGCAGAAATAAACCCATACTTATATGGTCAATTAATCTATGAGAAAAGAGGCAAGAACATACAGTGGGGAAGACAGTCTCTTCAATAAATGGCGTACTGGGAAAACTGGACAGCTAAATGCAAAATAATGAAACTGGACCACTTTGTTTTACATTGTACACAAAAGTAAAATCAAGATGGAGTAAATACCTAAATGTGAGACCTGAAGCCTCCTAGAAGAAAAAATACGCAGTAATTTATTTGACATTGGCCATAGAAACATTTTTCTAGATATGTCTCCTCTGGCAAGGGAAACAAAAGCAAATATAAACTATTGGGACTACACTAAAATAAAAAGCTTTTGCACAATGAAGGAAACTATCAGCAAAACAATAAGGCTACCCACAGAATGGATAAGATATTTGTAAATGATATATCCACTAAGGAGTAAATATCCAAAAGACATAAAGAACTTATACAACTCAACACCAAAAAACAATCTGATTAAAAAATGGGCAGAGGAAATGAATAGACATTTTTCCAAGGGAGGCATACAGATGGTCAACAGACACATGAAAAGATTCTCAACATTACCAATCATCAGGGAAATGCAAATGAAAACCACAATGAGTTATCACTTTATACCCATCAGAATGGCTAAAATAAAAAAAAGAAATAACAAGCGTTGGTGAGGATGTGGAGAAAAAAGAAACCTTATGCACTGTTGGTGGGAATGCAAATAGGTGCAACCACTGCAGAAGACAGTGTACAGGTTCCTCAAAAAGTTAAGAATAGAATTATGCATGATTCAGTAATTCTACTACTAGGTATTTACCCAAAGAAAATGAAAACACTAATTAAAAAAGATAGACATGCCCCTCTGTTTATTGCAGCATTATTTATAATAGCTATGATGTGGAAACTACCCAAGTCTCCATACACAGATCAATGGATGAGGCATGTATGTATGTATATATGTATGTATGTATGTATACATATATGTGTATATGTATATACACACACATACACACACATGCTGGAATATTTCTCAGACTAAAAAAATGAAATCTTAACATTTGCAACATGGATGAACCTGAAGTTATAATGCTAATTTAAATAAGAGAATAGACAAAGTCCACATGATTTCACTGATATGTGAAATTTATGAAATAAAACAAACAAAAAAGAGACAAAACAACAGCCTCTGAAATACAGAGAAGAAACTGGTGGTTGCCAGAGGGGAGGTCAGTGGGGTATGAGTAAAATAGATAAAGGGGATTTACAGTACACTTATCTTCATGAGCACTGAGTGATGTGTAGAATTGCTGAATCATGACACTATACACATGAAACTAATATAACCCAGTGTATTATTTATACTTGTATAAAAAAATTAAAAAAGCAAAATATAAAAAAATAAAAAGAGTAAGATCAAGCAGCAGGAAAAAAGCACTATTGGAAACAGCATGTGGTTGGCATCTTTTTTGGAAATATTCTTGCAAGTAAAGGCAGAAAATGTAGAGGTTATAAAGGTAAGCAAAATAAGTAGCAGAAAGACAAATACCATATGACTAAACTGAAATGTGGGATTTAAGAAACAAAACAAACAAACAAAGAAAAAAAGGTAGCCACTTTTGTAAAAGGCAGCCACAGGTAGAGTTTTGCTGCAGCAGTCAACAAAATAAATACAAATAGAAAATAAAAAATTAAAAAATAGAAATGTCAGTAGGGTTATCTCAGTGATAATATTATGGTCCACTTTTGTTTTTATTTATTAAAAAAGGATGTTAATAAATGTTATGTAAATATTTTCAAAGGAAGCATTGCTTACTGTTTAACTTTAGAATCAGAGTGTGATCTGGTTCTGTCTAGAATGAATCTGCTGTTGTTCTCTCAGGAATTAGGCAGGAATTAGTCAAATGGGTCTAGAGTAGGGTACCTGTTCTGGGGGCCTTGTAGAGAAGGCTGCTAATTGCTTAAAGAGGAGGCAGGAAAAAGTATCCTAGGAAAAATTTTCCCTACTTCACAGTTCTGCCTAGGGCTTGGCTTTGCATGGCTGCTTGTTTTTTGGGGTTTTTCCCCCTGTGATTTTAAGTCATGCTTTAGTTTTACCTCTTTTTCTTCTTTTTGAAAAATTCAACCAAATTAATTGAATGTTACCTCCCAAGAAGTCATTCAAAAGTTTGGGATCTGATGTAATCACAATGCATTTATTTTCACAATGAAAGGATATTTGTTTACCTATAGGGAACAGAAAATCTATGCCTTATCTGGCCTAAAGCAAGTTCATGCCAAGTTGCTAACTAGCACACCCTTTCCATTCTCCTTCAAATACACCCTTAGGCACCACTAGATTCCAGAAGATGCTTAGCATTTTCCACATTTTTAAAGGAAATCTCTGTTACCTGGATTAACCTGCATTAAAAACAGGGGTCTGACTTTCATTTTGCCAGTGTCATAAAGCAAAACCAATATATATAGAATGACCAGTCAGTGAACAGTTTGCAATCTACATGGGAAGGAAATGAGAATTTTTCATAAGGTTTTTCTTATTGGAAATATAACAATTTAATTATTTTTATCAGTACATTCAAGATGTCACACTTACTTATTCTCTTGATGGTAATAAATTCCAGTATGACATCCCTGTCGTTCCCTCTTGTTACTACTAATAAATTCCATCCATTCCAAAAGGGAACTAACCCACTTGTTTAATTAGCTGAGTGTGATATTTACCACTTTCTATAGGAATTAAGAAACAGAGATGTGCCTCAGTTCTTTGTAGATAAAGGATATCTAGAAGCCAGAATATGTAACAAGCAGCCAAGAAGCTTCTCACAAGTACCAATTCAACTCCAAGTGGGCTGGATCTACCTGGAAGAGGCAAGAGAATCTCTCTTTGAGACATTATTCCTTACCTTTTCTAGTTTGTGCATAACTGACTCCAGCATTTATCTCTGCTTCTTAATTTCCAGGAGGCTGTTAAGCACTGCAGCCCTTTATCACAGTGGTTATACATACCACACCAGAATCTTGAATAAACAAAAAGAAAAAAAAATGGATTAGTTTAGCTGGAGGAATACATTATTGATTTTTTCCTTGTGTTAAGGAAATATTAGTTTGGTAGGTAGGCAGATTTCAAATCTAAGATAATTTTGATGACATTAAAAAGAGTGGTCATGCTCAAAAAGTTAAAAATAGAACTACCCTACCATCTAGGAACCACATTAGTGTTGATTTACCCCAAAAATACAAAACACTAATTAGAAGGGATACATGCACCCCTACATTTATTGTAACATTATTTACAATAGCCAAATTAGGTAAGCAGCCTAAGTATCCATCAGTACATAAGTGGATAAAGACGTTGTACATGATGCAATATTATTCAACCATAAAAAGAATGACATCTTGCCATTTGTGAAGACATGGATGGAGCTAGAGAGCATAAAGCTAAGCCAAATAAGACACTCAGAGAAAGACAAATACCATATGGGGAATTTAATAAACAAAACAAATGAGCAAAGGAAAAAAAGAGAGACAAACCAAGAAAGAGATTCTTATCCATAGAGAACAAACAGAATGTTACCAAAGGGGTGGCATGTGGGGAGGGGGGATGGGTAAAATAGGTGATAGGGACTAAGGAGTGCACTTGTGATTAGTACTGGATGATATATGGAATTGTTGAATCACTATATTGTATACCTGAAACTAATATTATACTGTAGGAATTTTTTAAAAAATTAATAAAAGGCATCCAAACAGCAAGGAAGAAGTAAAACTTTCACTATTTGCAGGTGACATGATACTATATATAGAAGACCCAAATGACTCCAAAAACTGCTAGAAATGATCAATGAATTCAGTGAAGTTGCAGGATACAAAATCAATGTACGGAAAACTGTTGTATTTCTGAACACCAGTAATAAAGCAGCAGAAAGAGAAATGAAGGAGTCAATCCCATTTACAACTGCACCAAACACAATGATACCCAGAATAAACTTGATGAAAGAGGTAAAAGATCTGTACTCTGAAAATTTTAAAACACTGAGGAAAGAATTTGAAGAGGAAATAAACAAATGGAAAAACATTCCATTCTCATGGATTTGAAGAACAAATATTGTTAAAATGTCTATACTGCACAAAGCAATCTATACATTTGATTCAATCCCATCAAACTACCAACAACAGTTTTCACAGTGCTAGAACAATCTTAAAATTTGTATGGAACCACAGAAGTTTCCAAATAGCCAAATCAATCTTGAAAAAGAAGAGCAAAGCTGGAGGCATGACAATTCCAGACCTCAAGATATATTACACAGCTGTAGGAATCAAAACAATATGGTGTTGGCACAAAAACACACACATAAATCAATGGAATAGAATAGAAAACCCAGAAATGAATCCAAATCTATATGGTCAATTAATCTTTGACAATAAGGAAAGAATATCCAATGAGAAAAAGACAGTCTCTTCAATAAATGGTGTTGGGAAAACTAGGCAGCAACATGCAAAAGAAGGAAACTGGACCACTTTATTATACTACACAGAAATAAATTCACAATGGATTAAAGACCTAAATGTGAGACCTGAAAACAAAACAATCCTAGAAAATAAAGGCAGTAATTTCTTTGACATCAGCCATAGCAACTTCTTTCTAGATGTGTCTCCTGAAGCAAAGGAAACAAAAGCAAAAATAAACTACTGGGACTTCATCAAAACAAAAACAAAAACAAAAACAAAAAATTCTGCATAGTGAAGGGCAGGCAACCTATAGTATGGGGGAAGATTTTTTCAAATGAAATATCAGATAAAGGGTTAGTATCCAAGTCTGTAAAGAACTTATCAAACTCAATAACCCAAAAATGAATAATCTAAATTTTAAAAAGGTAGAAGACATGAATAGACATTTTTCTAAAGAAAACATACAAAAGGCCAATAAACATATGAAAAGATTCTCAACACTGCTGATTATCAGGGAAATGTAAATAAAAACTACAAAGAGATGTCATCTGGCACTTGTCAGAATGGCTAAAATCAGTAACACAAGAAACAACAGGTGTAGGTAAGAATGTAGAGAAAGGGGAACCCTTCTGCACTTTTGGTGGGAATGCAAACTGGTGCAGCCACTCTGGAAAACAGTATGGAGATTCCTCAAAAAGTTACAGAT